CTCCGGGGCCTCATTTTGGGGAATAAGGGCACTTCAGTTTACTTTTTCAAAGGAGCCTTGGTGGCGCCGTGGTTAAAGAGCTTGGCTACGAACCGAAAGGTTGGGCGTTTGAATCTACCAGCCACTCAGTGGGAGAGAGATGTGGCAGACAGCGCTGGAAACCCTATGGGTCAGGGAAGTTCTACTCTGCCCTATAGGGTCGCTGCGAGTGGAAGGCAATGGGTTTGATTTGGTTGGTTTACTTTTTCTGTTTTCAGTCATTCTCAAATTATCCACCTGGGGGCGCTGGTGGTCTTGGCCTGCTCTTGAAGCAAAGGGCTCTGGCAGGAAGTCGGGTATGGTGGCTGGGAGGCGAGCTTTGCAAGGATGGATTACAAGGTCATCTCCCCGTGGAGTCTCATGTTCCCTTCTGCTGAGAAACTCAAACTCTCAGCCTTTGCCCGCCCCCTGCACCTCATCTGTGTCTACCCAGGAGCAGGGCAGACCCCAGGCCCTTAGTCCCCTGCCCCAGCTCTAGCCCTAAGTGGGAGGAGAGGGCTGGACTGACGGAGGACCTGGGCCATGCGGCACCCCGACCTCGCTAGCCTCTCCTCAGGTGCAGTCCCACCCAGGGCAGTTGGGCCCCTGCCAGGCCCTCCTTCACCACTTCCGTCTCCAGAATTCCTCCTTGTCCTTCTCTGTCTTTGCTCTGAAGCCTGGGACCCAGACAGGTGTGGGGTGGCCAGGACCGCATAGGCTACTCACAGGCTCATGGGGGACGCTTGCTCGGGCCTCCCCTGCTCCTTGATGCTTCCACCCCCTCCACCTCATCTCTCTGTCTCTGTAGTCACCTGTTTCTGGGCCTGAGCCCCTCAAGAGCAAGCCCTGAAGGTCCCCAGGGCAGGCAAGGAGACCTTCATGCAGTGAATGAACCAGATCAGGATCCCCTTGTGTAGAAGGGGTGTGGCCATTCAGACAAGACCTTGGGACGGGACCTCAGTGGGGGCAGGTGCGGGGACTGTAGTTGGGTTCTCTATCCCTGGCATCCCCAACATGAATTGACCATGGCACTTTGCTTTCTGCTCACCAGACTTCAAGAGATTGACCAAGAACCCAGAGAGACAAGGTCCTGATTTACACAGATGGACACATCTTGGGGGTGATCAGCCCAGGTGAATTGCTGAAGGTGGTGGAAGGCCTTAAGCTGCAAGCCCAAAACCATTCCATGGGAGGCACTCGGGGTTCACCCAACAAGCCCTTTCACACTCCACTGGGTGTGGGCGTGCCCCACTGCAGGGGTCATTGGGTCATTTAGTGCTACATGAACAAAGACATGGCATTAAATCACGTGGACTCCCCAGGTGAGAAAGTTACTGTCTCTTCAAGTCTCTTTCAAGCCTTCTGATTGTTGTTGTCGGGTACTGTCAAGTCGATTTCAACTCATCGAGACCCCGTGTGTTACAGAGTAGAACTGCCTCATAAGGTTTTCTAGGCTGTAATCTTTATAGAAGGAGCTCTGACGGTGCAGTGGTTAAGCGCTTGGCTGCTAACTGAAAGACTGGCGGTTCGAATTCACCAGCTGCTCCACGGGAGAAATGTTGCAGTCTGCTTTCGTAAAGATTACAGCCTTGGGGGGAATTCACTGACTAGATAGTAAACAGGAATCATCTTAGGTGAAGGAGAGGAAAACACAATACAGGGGAAGTCAGCCCAACTGGACTAAACCAAAAGCTAAGGAGTTTACTGAATACAACCAAACACTTTGAGGGACAGAGTAGCAGGGCCTGGGGTTTGGGGACCATGGTTTTGGGGGACATCTAGGTCAATTGGCATAACAAAGTTTATTGAGAAAATGTTCTGTATCCCACTTTGTGGAGCGGCATCTGGGGTTTTAAAAGCTTGTGAGCGACCATCTAAGATGCATCAATTTGTCCCAACCCACCTGGAGCAAAGGTGAATGAAGAACACCAAAGACACGAGGAAAATATTAGCCCCAGAGACAAAAGGGCCACATAAACCAGAGACTCCATCGGCCTGAGACCAGAAGAACTAGATGGTGCCCGGCTACCACCAATGATTTCTCTGACAGGGAACACAACAGACGGTCCCTGACAGAGCAGGAGAAAAGTGTGGTGCAGAACTCAAATTCACGTAAAAAGAATAGACTTAACGGTCTGACTGAGACTGGAGGAACCCCTGAAGCCATGGCCCCCGGATGCTCTGTTAACCCAGAACTGAAACCATTTCTGAAGCCCACTCTTCAGACAAAGATTAGACCGGACTCTAAAACATAAAATAATACTCGTAAAGAATGTGCTTCTTAGTTCAAGCAGATACACGAGACCAAATGGGCAGCTCCTGTCCGGAGGTGAGATGAGAAGGTAGGAAGGGACAGGAGCTGGCTGGAGGGACGCGGGAAACCTGGGATGGAAAGGGGGAGTGTGCTGTCACGTTATAGGGATTGCAACTAATGTCACAAAACAATATGTGTATAAATCTTTGTATGAGAAATTAAATTGAGCTGTAAACTTTCACCTACAGAACAATAAAAAAGAAAAAAAAAAAGAAGAAGTAAGTTGCCACTGTGTGAGAGAGCCTGCGGATGGGGCCACATGGGAAGAGCCTGAAGGCGACCTCTAGATGCTGAGAGTGATCCCTGGCTGACAGCTAGCAAGACAACAGGAACTTCAATCATACAGACGCAAACACCAAAATTCTGCCAACAACTTAGAAGGGGACCCAGAAAGGAGCTTAGAAGGGGACCCAGAGGTTCTGTGAGCTTAGAAGGGGACCCAGAAAGGAGCTGCAGAAGGAACACCTAGTCAGCACCTTGATCACAGCCTTGTGGGGCCCTGAGCAGAGGACCCAGCTAAGCCATGCCCAGATTCCTGACACAGAGGAACTCTGAGACAATAAATGTTTGTTGTGTTTCTGTTTTTTGTTTTTTTTTAAAAAAAGAGTACAGCCTTGGAAACCATATGGGGCAGTTCCACTCTGTCCTCTAGGGTCACTATGAGTCAGAATCGATTCTATGGCAATGGGGTTGGTTTTGGTTTTGCAATCTTTATGGAAGCAGATTGCCAAGTCTTCCTCCACAGAGCCACCCGGTGGGTTCAAACCTCCAACCTTTTGGTTAGCAGCTGAGCTCTTAACTATTGTGCCACCAGGGTCTTCTGATGAGGTGGGGAACAAAGCCTCAGCTCAGTGCGGGGGTGCTTTGACCACCCCTGTAACGCCACTGAGCACCCTTTCCGTCTCCCTCATGCAGGTGCTCAGGCCTCTGGAGGAAACAGTGTCTGCTAGAATTTAATTACATTATTTCCATTGTGCTTGTTATCTCCATGGCTACTTTCTATTCCTAGCATGTGATACTTATTTTCTGCTTGTGATGATATAAGTTTCCTTTTTTAAGAAAAAAAGCAATTCAATTTAAGGACAAATGCTAAAGACATAGCAGAGGAGGTGGGGGGGGGGTGTCTGATGGAGCAAACCTGGGAAACATCTGGGAATGGCTGGAGCTTGGGAAAAGGAAGCAGAACTCCTCTGGCCCTCCCAGCCACCTCTTAGGTGCCCAGAGCTGGGGTATTGAGCCTTGCACTGATGAGGAATCTGAGGCCCTGAGATGGGAAAGGATCATGGGAAAGGAAGCCCCCTGACCAGGGCTGGAGATCTGCCAGCAACCCCACACCCACATATGTCTGGCACTCCAGATCCTGGCCCCTCTATACCTCTGCTGGCAGCCCTGGGCCTCGGGCTAGGATGACAAAGCCCCCACGTGTCAGGGGCCTGGATGCTGACCCAGGCCTCCCCCTGCCCTGGCTGCTGTTCGTGGTGAGCAGCAATTAGGTCTCCAAGGCACTTGGTAATTGGCCTAGCTCCTCAGCACAGCCCTGCGCCATGTCCCCTGCGTGGACGAGGGAGCCGAGACCCATGGGGAAGCAGCGACGCCGGTCAAGTGACGTGCCCAGGGTCACACAGCTAGTGTGTGGAGGGGCTAGGACTTGAACCTAGGTCCATCGGACGCCAGAACCTGTGTTCTTTGCTTTGGTCCCAACTCCCAGCTGTGTCGAGGCTCTGAATCCTGGAAGCTCACTTCTTGGAGACCCACCCTGGTTCTCTCCCTGAACTCATTTCTTTTTGCCATGTTTACTCCCATGATGCTCCTTGCTGGGGCACAGCCAGAACCATAGAAAGTCCATCAACTAGGTATGGGGGTGACTCACACCCTCCCCTGAGCCTTAGTTACAGCATCTGGAAAATGAGGTCCTGGTGGCGCAATGGTTAAGTGCTCGGCTGCTAACCAAAAGGCTGGCGGTTCGAACCCATGCAGCAGCTCTGTGGGAGAAGCAACCTGGTGATCTGCTTCCATAAAGATTAAACCAAAAAAACCAAATCCATTGCTGTCAAGTCGATCCCGACTCATAGCAACCCTACAGGACAGAGTAGAACGGCCCCATAGGGCTTCTAAGTAGTGGCTGGAGGATTTGAACTGCTGACCTTTTGGTTAGCAGCTAAATGCTTAGCCACTGTGCCACCAGGACCCGGGGCTCCCCCCTGTGAAGATTACAGCTTAGAAAACCCTACAGGGCAGTTCTACTCTGGAACACCTGGGGCACTATGAATCAGAATTGACTCAACGGCATCCAACAATCAAAACAGCCCTGCCCTGTCTCCAGTATCCAGGCTGCAGTATGGGATCAAGGCCATGATAGATAAGGCGAAGTTAAAGCCTGGCCTGCCTACCTGGCCCTTCTCGCAGCTTCCCTCCTCTCCCTGACATTGGGTCTCATTTGTCTCTCTGTCCTCCCCACTCAGCACCTAGCACACAATAGGCTGTCTATTGTCCTACAAACCTGGGATCTGTGGATGGTCAGGTATTGAAAACGTTAGTGGAATTATAGAGCCCTAAGTAATGAATAGGGCCATTAGTGGTTCAACGGTAGAATTCTCACCTTCCGTTCAGGAGACCCAGGTTTGATTCCCCACCAGTGCACCTCAGTCCCAGTTTTTCACAATAGTCTCGTCACAACGGTCTGATCCTCAGCCTGTCGTGGAGCTAACACAGAACCAGACAGCAATTTCATTCCGTTATGCATGAGGTCACCATGAGTCAGGACCAGCGTGACAGCAACTAGCAATAAGAAGTAATAAATGACACACACATGCCTTAAACAGTTTGCTTTAACTTTTATAAGCGGGATGTCCCCTCGTTAATCTGTTGACTGGCACCCCAGGCCTTCCCTGGGAAGCGGGAGCCACTGCTTGGAGCCTGCACGGTGCTTCTTGCCTAACCCACCCCCCTAAAGCAGCATCTACGACTTCCAGTTTGGGCTCCCCAAAGCGGACCTAGAACGTTCCATGCTCAAGAAGCCATCTGAGTGAGAGCCCTTCCAGACTTTGACGATGTCCCCTAACATCCAGCAGTCATAACTTGCCTAATTCACAGACATTTTTTAAAGCAATTTGCTTATAACAAGCTTTTCCAGGGGATTCAGGCTTATTTTCACAGAAACCACCTCACTGCCCTCAGCTTTCAGCAGTTTACATAACTAGTTTAATTACACCAGGGGTTACAAGAGCAAGGACTCAACAGGCACAAACCAGTTTGGGAACAAACACTCTGGGTGGTGGGAAGCGTGTAACTCAAGCAGAAGGCAGCCTGAGAGAATCAGGTAGGCACCTGGCTCCCTGTGGGCACAGAGGGTTGGGGTGCCAGCTAGGAAGCTTCCCCTGCGTATGTTTTGTGTTGGCTGCAAGGAACTTGGGAACATCTTTGCGGAATTAGGACGGCACCATCCCTGCAGCTCCCAGGGCTGTGCAAAGCCGTGTGGCCCCTGGCAGCCCTCCTTCTAGCATCCTCCAGACCAGAGTGAGCCCTCCAGCCCCCTCCCTCCTCACACCAGGACATCCACCCGCCCAGAGTTAGGCCCCCTCACCCTGGTCATCCTGCTAATCCCACATCTAATTACTAAAAACTTTTGGGAATTGATGAGGTGCCCCATTACTAAGGCTCACAACACCCTATTCTTTACCATCATATCAAGGTTGGGACTAGGGTGAAACGAGAGAGATAGTCATCTTGGGTGCAAAATTGAAAAGGGTGTCAAAAAATCAGTAACCAAGACAAATAACCCATCTAAAAATAGGCAAAGGATTTGAATAGACATCTCTCCAAGGAACGTCACTTAACAGCCTTAGTCATCGGGGAAATGACTCAAAACCACTAGAGAGCCTATTTTTCACGTACAAGAATGGCTATAATAAAAAAGTGAGATAACAAGCCTTGGCGAGGATGTAGAGAAAGTGGAACCCTCCTACGTTGCTGGTGGGAATGTAAACTGGTGCAGCTGCTTTGGAAAACAGTTTGGCTCTTCCTCAAAATGTTAAACAGAGTTAACATGTGACCTAGTAATTCCACTCCTGGGAATATACCCAAGAGAACTGAAAACATATGTCTGCACAGGAACGAGTACAAGAATGTTTACAGGAGCATTATTCATAATAGCAAAAAAGTGGAAATAACCCAAATATCCATCAACTGATGAATGCGTAGGCACAATGTTGTCTGTCAATACCATGGAATATTACCTGGTCAGATTCGTTTTTTTTTTTTTAACATTTTATTGTGGTTTGGGTGAAAGTTTACAGAGCAAATTAGTTTCCCATTCAACGATTTGTGCACATTTTGTTTTATGACATTAGTTGCTGTCTCAGTCATCTAGTGCTTCTCCAACAGAAATACCACAAGTGGATGGCTTTAACAAAGACAAGTTTATTTCTTCACAGTCCAGTAGGCTACAAGTCCAAATTCAGGGTGTCAGCTCCAGGGGAACGCTTTCTCTGTTGGCTCTGCAGGAAGGTCCGTGTCATCAGTCTTCCTTTGGTCTGGGAGCTTCTCTGCTCAGGAACCTCAGGTCCAAAGGATGTGCTCTGCTCCCAGCACTGCTTTCTTGGTGGTATGATGTTCCCATGTGTCTCTACTCACTTCTCTCTTTTCTATCTCAAAAGAGATTGCATTAAGACACTAATCTTGTCAACCTCATCAGTATAACCTCATCACAGTGATAGAATTCATAACACATGAGGAGAGCACATATAATCTCATCATAGTGGTAGAGTTTACAACACATAAGGAAATCACATCAGATAACACAGTCATACAATACTGGGAATCATGACCTAGCCAAGATGCTACACACATTTTTGGGGACACACAATTCAATCCATGACAGTTGCCATCCCCTCAATGTGACAGCACTCTACCCACCCTAAGTTCTCCGTTTCTATTAGTTTCTATATCTTTCCTGCCCCTTCCTGCCTTCTGAACTTTGTTTTTGGGCAAATGTTGCCCTTTTGGTCTGGTTGATTGTTCTGAGGAGCATGTTCCTCACGGGTATTATTGTTCACTTTATAGGGCAATCTATCGTTTGGCTGAAAGGTGATCTCCAGGAGTGGGTTCAGTTCCAGGACTGAAGGGTGCCTAAGGGCCATAGTCTTGGGGGTTCCACCAATCTCTATCAGACAAGTAAGTCTGGTCTTTTTTATGAGTTTGACTTTTGTTCTACATTTTTCTCCCGCTCTGTCCAGGACCTTCTACTGTGATCCTGATCAAAGTGGTCGGTATTGGTAGCCGGGCACCATCTATTTCTTCTGATCTCAGGCTAGTGGAGGTTGTGATTTGTGTGGTCCATTAGTCCTTTGGATGAATCGTTTCCTTGAGACTTTGATTTTCTTCACTCTTCTTTGCTCTGGGCAGGAAGAGACCAATAGTAGTATCTTAGATGGCCACTCACAGCTTTTAAGACCCCAGTCGCTACTCACCAAAGTAGCATGTAGAATGCTGTCTTTATGGACTATGTTATGCCAACTGACCTAGATGTCCTCCGAGACGATGGTCCTAAGCCCTCAAGACCTGGTCAGATTTTGGTTTCTAATGCCATTCTCCAATAAAAGAAACCAGGGCTCCTTGAAGAAAATTCTAGAAGTGTGACAGGAAATATACAATATGAGCCTAGAGCATCTTGTAGTCCCAGAAACTAAGGTAGTGCTTTAAAAAAAAATGACAGAGGCATGTCAAAGGGACACAGGAGCCAACTGAAAGAGCTCCCAAATGGCCAAAGCTGGAACAATTTGAGCAACAAAATAAAGTAATACTGTATTGGATTATAACCCAAAGTATAAAATAAATATTCATGAGTCCATACTGATATAAATAAATGATTGAATACATAAATAAATGGGGAGAAGAGAGGAATATCCCATGCAGAAAAATTCTAAATAACCTACGTAGATATTCCACCTTGAAGGAGGTGGAGTATAGTAACTCTACTTCTTTTTTTTTTTTTTTAATTTTTTGTAACTCTACTTCTTGAGCGCAGACATGGTGACTTCCTTCCAAAAAATACAGATGGAAAGGAGAAGGGTGGGAAGAGTAACGACAGTAGAGAAACCTGACAGATTACCTTAGCCAGGTCAAAATCAAGAGTGGTGTCATGTCAATAAGACCTGATGAATATGACACTTCACCTCTGTGATCTCTTGCCCCAAAGCCTCAAGTGTAAAAACAAAAACAAAACAAAAACCCCAAATCCATTGCCATTGAGTCCATTCTGACTCATAGTAGGACAGAGTAGAACTGCCCCATGGGGTTTCCCAGGCTGTAATCTTTACAGAAGCAGACTGCCTCATCTTTCTTCTGCAGGGTGGCTGATGGGTTCCAACTGTGGACCTTTTGTTTAGCAGCCAAGCGCTTAACCACTGTGCCACCACGGCCCCTGTAACCCATGTCTAATCATGAGAAACACATCACACAAATCCTACTTGAGGGACATTTTATAAAATCTCTATAATCAAAAGGTCGGTAGTTTGAATCCACCAGCCACTCCTCGGAAACATTATGGGGTATTTCTACTCTGACCTATAGGGTCGCTCTGAGTTTAGGGGGAGGGGGAATAGGGAATGAATGATAACGGGTACAGGGTTTCATTCTGACATGATGAAAATATTGTAAAATTAGATTGCATAACTTATTTGTGCTGGTTGCACAAAGGCATCCTATAGGCCAGCAGTAGCGTTGCAGGGCAGGCCCCCGGGCTCCAAGACCCACAGGTCCCCTCCCTTTACCCCCCTCTCTGGTGTGTGGGGGAGACTTTTCCTCCACATGTCTTCGAGAAACTCTGCCTATGCTCAGAAATCCTCTCAGGACTCATTCCTGCTGGCTCCTGGCTGTGCACCTCCACACCCTTCTTGGGCAGTGAGCCAGGGCCAACCTGACTGAACGAGAAAAGGGAAGGGGGAAGTACAGGGGAAAACTGGGAAAGCAGCGGGCAGATTAACATCTCTGATCCTATCTCTCCACTTAGGTAAAGCACTTGAGCACCTGCCAGATGCAAAGTGCAACTCTTCTGGGGTGCTTCCTTTCCTCCTCCATCTGCATAGCATCACAGGGTATTAGGTCCTCAAAGTCTCCCCTATCCTCTCTCTTGCCCAAGGTCACACAGCAAGTCAGTGATGGAGCCTTGTCCAGCTCTAGCACTGGGGTGGCAGCCAGCTCACGTCAACTTCCCTGTGGACATGGTGTGCTGGCCGTTTCTTCTGGGACCACTCCTGCCCCCACCCTGTGGTCCCAATGTTGTTGTTAGGTGCTGTCAAGTGAGTATTTCAAATACCAGCATGGTCACCCATGGTGGACAGGTTTCAGCGGAGCTTCCAGACTAAGACAAAATAGGAAGAAGGACCTGGTGGTCTACTTCTGAAAAATTGGCCAGTGAAAACCTTATGAATAGCAGTGGAACATTGTCTGATATAGTGCTGGAAGATGAATCCCTTGGTTGGAAGTCACTCAAAATATGACTGGGGAAGAGCTGCCTCCTCAAAATAGAGTTGACCTTAATGATGTGGACTGGACTCAAGCTTTCAGGACCTTCATTTGCTGATGTGGCACGACTCAAAATGAGAAGAAATAGCTGCAAGTATCCGTTAATAATTGGAATGTGAATATCTAGGAAATTTGGAAATGTAGGAAAATTGGAAATCGTGCCCGCAATGGGCGTTAACAAATCAAATCCCCACTTGATCCTGCTCTGTCACCACAGTGATTGGCTGAGAGGTGAGCACCTGATCAAAACTGGGCCAATTGGAAAGCTCCAGCCCTTTGGTGGCACTGATTGGTCCAATGATGGGCACATGACAAAACCAACCAATCATGGTCCTTCTCTAGGATTTTTCTACCTGAGACCAGCCCAGCCGTAGGGACTGAGCCTAAAAATTGCCAGCACGCATGTGGGAAGACACCCATAGGGGCAGGAAGGATGAAGCTAGTTGGCAGAGAGAGGCAAAGAGGTGGAGAGATGGTGCCCTTGCTCTGATCATCCCCAGCCTCCATGAGCCTCCTCTCCTTTGATTGATGAGCTCCTTTCTCTGTCAGCTAGTTTGAATTAGGTTTCTGTCCCAGGTGGAACACCATATTGCATAAAGAACATGGACTCTGGAGCCAGCTTCCTTAGTTTTTGTATCCTCCGCTCATGAGCTATGAGCTTGGGCATGCTACTGAACATCTTGGTGCCTCTGTTTCCCCAGATACAACACACATTGGGTTATTGTGGGGATTAAATGAGTTATATCAGTACCTGGCACACAGGAAGTTCTTGATAAACTGCAGCTCTTCAACCAGGAACACTCCAGCTCCTACATCTTCTGGGATCCCTGGTGCCTCCTCCGAGTGGTGCCTGTGTCTGCCAATCTGTCCATCAGAGTAGCCTGATTATAGTTTCCTTCCTTCTTGCTGGAGGCTGGACATCGATTTTCTGGAGGCTGGAGAAATGGGCACTGTACCTGGACAGCTGCAGCTTACTGACCAAGGCAGCATTAGTCAGCCTTGTCCTCACTGGCCTACTCAGGCATGATGTCTTCATATGGGTTGTGGCAAGATGGCTGACGGTTCAAGTCCCTCCTTCTCCAGCAGGAAGCCCAGGCCCCGGGGGTGGCTCAGAGACCAGTGCCAGTGATGGACGCTATGAGATAGACACAGAGTTGTCCCTCCCCTCAGGGGCTGACTTCGTTTTGGGGTCTGGCTCACCACGTAGAGCACCTGGAACATACTGGGAATGCAGAAAGTGGTCAGTAAGTGTGGAGACTGTCATGCGCAGGTGCCCAGTTCCTCTCCCCGAGGATAGCTCCACTCCAGGAGGCTGCTCAGTCCTCACACGAACAGCCATGGGCCAGGACTGGCCCATCAGGGACCAGCCCACCCAGACACCCTGAGCCCCGGGGTGCCCACAGTTTAAGCTGGGAAAATCCTGTCTTCCCACGACATCTGGGCTGTGGCAAGGAGTGAAGAAGGAGCTGCTCACACGTGGGCCCATTGGCAGTTTGGCCATCTGACTAGAAAGCTTTAAAACAATCCTCTCTCTTTGCCCAGGCAATTCCATGTCTAGCAAACTTATACATACAAGGGTGTTCCCCACAGCTTTGTTCAACATGGTGAAAACTTAGGAAAGAAGTAAATGCCCACTAGTGGGGCTTGGTCAAATGAATGATTGTCCCGCCATGTGATGGGACTCCAGGCCAACGCCAGAATGTAGACCTGGGTATGTCGTCATCTTTCAAAACAGTGTGTCTGCACAAAACACAACCATCAAAGAAACGATTGACAAATAAAACGAAGGATTTCTGTTCATCAAAACAGAATGTTAAGAGGTTAGTTTCAAAAGCCAGTTCTCCTGTTTACTGGCTGTCTTACTTCCCTAGTGCTGCTGTGACACAAACACCACCAGTGGGTGGTTTTACAGAACCGAAATTTAGTTCTCACAGTTCAGGAGGCTAGGAGTCTGAGTTCAGGGCACCAGCTCTAGGGGAAGGCTCTCTTTCTGTCAACTCTGGAGGAAGGGCCTTGTAGCCTCAGCGATCCTCATGTGGTGTCTGTCTTCCCATTCGTGCTTGCTGCTGTGACTATCTGCTCTTTTTCCTCAGAAGTGATTAGGTTTAGGCCACACTCTACACTGATATGGCCTCGCTAACATAACAAAGAAAACCCTATTCCCAAATGGGATTACATCCGCAGGTACAGGGGTTAGGATTCCAACACGTATTTTGTGGGGGACACAATTTAATCCATAACACTGGCTGTGAAAAGCTGGGTAAACTCTTTCAACCCTCTGTTCCTCAGTTTCTCATCTGTAAAGTGGGGAGACCTTCCTGGGGTTTGTTCCAGTTAACTATTATCGCATAACAAACCACTCTAAAACTTAGTGGAGTGAAACCACAACAATCATTTCTTTTGCTTATGAATTTGTCACTTGAACAGGGCTTGTGGGAGGGGGGTGACTCATCTATGCTCCACATGGTGTCAGTGAGGAGGATCAACTGGGAGGATCTACTTCCGATATGGCTTACTCACATGGCTGGCAAGTTGGTGCTGGCTGTGGCTGGAGCTCTGCTGAGCTGAGGATCAAGTCTTCTCCACATGGGCCTCTCTACTGGTTGCTTGGGCTTCCTCACAGCATGGTGGCTGGGTTTCAAGAGCAAGCATCTCAAGAACCAGGAAATGGAAGCCATCAATTTCTTAGAGCCTGGGTCCCCAAAAAGGCAGAGCATCCTTTTCACTGTATTCTATTGGTCAAGTAGTCACAGACTCCAGATTCAAGAGGAGAGGATACAGACTCCATCCCTCAATGGGAGGAGTGGCAAAGAATTTACAGACATGGTTTAGAATTGCCGTAGGGTTGCTGTAAGGATTAAATACAATCATAGATAGTTAGGTAGGTAGATAGATAGATAGACAGGTAGGTAGGTAGGTAGATGCCTTCATGTTGGCTCTGACTCATGGTGACGTTATGTAAAACAGAAGGAAATCTTGCCTGGTCCTCTTGCATCCTCACGATCACCAGCATGTTCAAGTCCATCATTGCAGCTGTTGTGCCAATCCATCTCACCGAGGGTCTCCTTCACGCTCACTGACCTTTTACTTCACCAATCATGATGTCTTCCTCCAGCGATGGGTACCTCCTGATGTGTCCAAAGCAAGCAAGTCGGACAATGTTCTATTGTGATACATAAGGTTTACATTGGCTAATTTTTAGAAGTAGATCACGAGGCCTTTCTTCCTAGTCTGTTTTAGTCTGGAAGTTCTGCCGAAACCTGTCCACTATGGGTGACCCTGCTGACAATTGAAATACCAGGGGCATAGCTTCCAGCAACACAGCAACATGCAAGCCACCACAGTACGACAAACTAACAGACAGGTGGTGGAAATCATGTATACACAGTCTCAAAGGATCATCTACAGATCATTTATTAAATACGAAGAGGGAAAGGATCTTCCCCGGGAGAAGCCTGGGAGACGTGGCTTAGCCAGTGATCAAAGAGAACATCACAGTTATGGAACAAACCGACATCATTCGCATCCTGAGGTGAAGTCCCGAGGAGGACACACACCGAGGTCTTCCTGCCAAAAGTGCACAACCAACTCTAACCAACAGGAAACATCAGACGAACCCAGACAGAGAGACAGCTTGCAAAACAATGGCCTGGAGTGTTGAAAACTGTCACTATTACATAAGACAAAACGGGGCCGGGTGGGGGCTATTTTAGGTCACAGAAGGCTGAAGACGCAGGATGGCCAAGGGAACAGCTTGGCCTTGATTGGATCCCAGGTCAGGGCAAATAAAAGCCATAAAGAACATGATTGGAGCAACTGGGGAGCCTTACACGTGGACCGCATACTTGATAATAACATCGGATTCCTGATTTTGATCATGGTACTGTGGTTGGGTAGAAGGGCCTTATTCTTAGGAGATGTGAGCTGAAGTATTCCAAAGGGAAGTGTCACATGTCTGCAGCTGATTCTCGAGTGGTTCAGCAAAATAATAAAGTCTAGATAGATAGATAAGGGGTCGGGGAGGAGATGGCCAAATGTTCTGTCTGAATGGAGGGTATTGAGTTTTCAAAACAAAAAGTTTAAGTACGTGGCACATAGCAGGACTCAATGAGTATTTCTAGAAAATGACTCAGTATCAATTTTTAAATTAACTCCACACTGTATTTCTAGTTATGTAGCGGCTTTTTTTCACTTAACATTGTATCCTGAGATTTCTAGGCATCGGTAATAAATATTTTTTAAAATATCTCTTAAATGGTTGCATAAAAGTCTATCATATATAATCCGTCTCCTACTGTTTGAGCTGTAGGCTGTTTCTAGTTTTCACCAAAATAAATAACACTTCTGTGAAGGTTTTCTCCCTCAATTATTGTCTGAGTTTCTCTCTTTTCCTGAATAATAATAGTATCTACTTCACAGGGTAATTATGATTAAACGAGATAATATATTTAAAGCACTTAAAAGAGTTCCAAGTGTTTGCTGTTATTATATTAGTTATCCATTTCTCCCTAACATATTACCCCAAAATATTGTGACTTAAAACAGCCAAAAATTATCCTCTCATAGGTTCTGTGGGTCAGGAATTTGGGAGAGGCTTCGCTGGGTGGTTCTGGCTCAGGGTTACTCATGAGGCTACTGTCGTCTGAGGCTTGACTGGGCTGGAAGATCTGTTTCCCCAGTGGCTCACTCACACACCTGGCAAATCAGTGCCGGCTGTGGGCTGGAGGCCTCAGTTCCTTCCCACAGGGCTACTTGAGTGTTCTTACAACATGGCAGCTTTCTTCCTCCAAAGCGACTGAGCCATGAGAGAGCAAGGAGTAAGCCACAATGCCTTTTCTGACCTAGTCTCGAAAGTGACACACTGCCACTTCTGTCATGCCCTATTCATTAGAAACAAGTCACTTAGTACAATCTACACTCAAGGGTAGGGAAATTATGCTCTATCTTTCAAAGTGTCAAAGAAGTTGTTCTTGTATTTTAAAACTATCACAGTTATCATTAACGATATAGCTATCATTCCTTAGACCTGGTTTCTAGGGGGGAAGTTATGGAGAGTACCGTATTTTTACGCAAATAACACACACACTATACGTTTTTTTGCCAACCATGCAACGACCTTGTGCATCATTTTCCTAAGTGTGTTATGCATGCTATATGTGTGCGGGAGGGGCACATTATTTACATAGGCATGTTATTTGCAAAAAATATGGTAGGTTCTGCCCTTTCCTGGGGCCCTAGACACAGCAGCCAGATATGTGCCCGTTGATTCCCTACCCTGCAGTACGTGTCTTGTCTTGCCACAGTTTGCCAGTGCCTGGTGTTCTCATTTTGGGCTATGCTCCTGGGTTGCCATGTCTTGGCCCTTGCTGGGTCTGGCATGCCCTTTCCAGCCTCCAACTTTGCCATCCTCACCGATCTCCCTGCTTCTATCCTTATCCCCATTAGTCTGTTCTCCAGGCAGCAGCCAGAGTGATCCTGTTAAAACCTAAGTCAGATCAGTCACTCCTCTGCTCAAAACCCTCCTGTGGCTCCCAGCTCACTCAGTAGAGGCCACAGTGGTCCGCTCCATGCCCACAAGGCCCTATACAGTCCTGCCCCTGCTACCTCAATGATCTTACCTCGATTTCTTACCTTGTCCTTCTCATTCTTTGCTGCTGATTAAAGAAGCTGAGCATTCTACTACCTCAGGGCCTTTGCACTTGCTGTTCTCACTGCCTGGAATGCTGCTCCCCCAGTTACCCACAGGGCTCACTCCCTCACCTCCTTCAGATCTCTGCTCCAATGTCACCAACTCAGGTAGGCTCCCTGGCCCCCTGTATAAAGTAGCAACCCCCACCTCCACTGCATCCCCCCACCCTGCTCTGCTTTTCCCATTCTGCCTGACATTAAACGTTTGTTTTTTATTGTTATTATTGTTTATTCCACTCTCCACTACTGGAATGTCAGCTTTTTTTTTTTTTTTTTTTGGTGAATATATACACAACCAAACATATACCATAGTTTCTACATGTACCGTTTAGTGACATTGGTTACTTTCTTCAGGTTGTGCTATCGTTCTCGCTAACCTTTTCCAAATTATTCCACCACTGTTATCTTAAACTCACTGCCCCATAAGCTTCCCACCCAACCTTTTGAGTTGCCGTCATCAATTTGAGCACACGTAGACACTAGGCTGTCAGCTTTATAGGGCAAGGTTGTTTGTCTTGCTCACTGCTGTACCCCCAGCACCTAGAATGGTCCCTGACACATGGTGGTACAGCTCAAACGTTACCTCTTTCTAAGTTCTCCCTTGACTTTGCCCACGAGTGAAGGGCCTGCTGCTTCCTCTGTTTCCTCCCGAGCTTTCAGCTCAGCATTTGTGTGTGTCTCTGGGCACTGAGTTGTGTTCATCTCTGATTCTCCAGCCCCGAGCCTAGCCCTAGGCACACTGTTGGCCCTCAGGTAATGGTGCTTCGTGGCCTAATTTCCACCTGTCCACAGAGCTGGCTTTATAAAGCACGTTTGCATCTCAGTTAATCCTCATCATAGCCTTCTGAGATGGGTGTGATCACCCCCAGCTTACAGATGAGGAAACTAAGGCCAGGAGAGGGATGGTGGTTGGCCCAAGGTCAGACAGCTGCTTGGGCAGAAGAGAGCTGAGAATGAGTCTCCTGCTTCCCAGGGAGCAAAGCACGTGAGAATGACAGACCCCAGGGAAGCTTGGGAGGGTCTTAGGGATCAGCTGGACCAGAGGTTGCAAAAGGGAGCCCTGGTGGCACAGTGGTTAAGAACTTGGCTGCTAACTGAGAAATTGGTGGTTCAAATGCACCGGCCCAGCCACGCCGAGGGAGAAAGATGTGGAAGTCAGCTTCTATAAAGATTACAGCCTTGGAAACCCTATGGGGCGGTTCTACTCTGTCCTGTAGGGTTGCTATGAGTCAGAGCCGACTCTCCTGCAACAGGCTTTAGGGGTTGCAAATCCAGTGCCTGCAGGGCCTGCAGAGGGTGGGACCAGGCATGCAGGGGGTGGGCAGCCAGCTGGGCAGCAAACTCAGGAAGGTTTGCCCGTCCTCTGGGAGGCAGCTGGGTGCTGGTACAGAAAGAGTCTGGGATTTGTCACAAGAAGCCAGAAATCCTAACTTGACAACTGATTCAAACGAAACTAAAAAACATACGCGGAGCAGTCAGAAAAGATTTGTCCATGGCTGCATGCCACCTTTTGGCCAGCAGCTTGCAACCTTTTCTTTATCTAGATGCTAGAGCAGTCCTCCATTTTACAGTCGAGGAATCTAAGGCCCAGAGAGGGGAGTGGTTCCCCCGAGATTACACAACATGTCTGTGGCGAGCCAAGATTCAGCCCTTGGCTCCCTGCTCCCAGCCCAGTGCTCTCTCATGAGCCATGAAAATCTCTGGGCTGGGGAGGAAGGATTTGCGGAGCAATAGCCCCCCACCCGACGTCCATTCCCGTCAATCCCTGTCTTGCAGCCCAGGAAGAGAAAAACCTGCAGACCATTCTAGACTCCTAGTTCCAGGTCGCGGGCGGAGCCAAGTTTCAAAGGCAAACAGACCTCGATCCAAACTCCAGCTCTGACTCTCGCCAGCTGTGTGACCTTGACCAAGGCTCTTCCCTGTCTGAGTCTGGGCCTGTCCTCTGTAAGTTGGAGAGAAAATGCCTGCGGTAAGGGATGACTTGCCACAACTGGAAAGTCTTCCCCAGGGGCCCTGGCCAGATTCATCTTGCTCCCTAGGTTCTGCATCGTCCTGGCTGGGACTGTGCTTCTAAAAATCCCCCAGAAGTCCCGACGCAGTTACCACACAGAATATGCATGAGGTGCCACCTCCTGTTTCATCAAACTTCCGCTCTGCTCCCGGGGAGATTGCACCAGAGGCTGGCTGCATTGCTTCAAAAGAGGCCTCAGGGCAGCCTCGGTGTCACTGTAGTCCAGCATCTTCCCTGCTGAAGCGCCTGTCCTGACTGAGCAGATGCCTGTGATTCCACAGGTAATGGTTTAGTCTCTGGCCTTAGCAAGTGATCCCAGCCCCTTCATCTTTTTCCCCCCAACATGCTCCCTCTTCAGAATGAAAATGTCTGAGGCGATTAATACATTCCAAAAACCAAACCCACTGCTGTGGAGTCGATTCCAAATCACAGTGACCCTGTAGGACAGAGTAGAACTGCCCCATAGGGTTTCCAAGGCTGTAAATCTTCATGGAAGCAG